CAAAGCAGAGAAAGTTTATAGAAGGAGCCTTGATACACTTGATACACTTATTGTACTTGTTGATGCATCCTTTAAAAAGCTGTTTTTCTTCCTGGGTGCACACAACAACAGGGAATAACCACGAGTGCATGGTTGATCCATTTTTCTTCCCTAAGCAATAAAAAGAAAGAATATATCATAGTTTTGGATCCAATCATTCTTGAATTGGAGTTTCACCAGTTTCTGAATAACATAACATTCTTCTTTTTTTTCCCCCAAAGCCATCACAACAAAGAAGGTGGGAAATATCATCCATCGGACCCAGAAAGATGGCGTCTTGGCAACAAAGTAAGACCTGTTGTTGTAGCAGTGGAGGCAGCTGCGTGTGTATCTGTTCAGGTCAAGGAGGGTCATTGTGCTGCTGTAAAGGAAGAGGACAAGGTTGTGTTCGCTGTGTGTCTCCCATCCGGCAAACTCAGACATCCGTCTGCTGCAGTGGTGGCCGTCGAGGAAGCTCTGGCCAAACCATCGTCGTTCTCCCGGGCAGCGGTGGTGGAGATGGATGGTGTTGCAGAGGAAGAAGAGGCTCCAGTGGTGGAGGATCTGGCCAGATCATTATATCACCTGGAGGAGGAAGTGGAGGTGGACAGTCTTCTAAATGCTGCATTGGAGGAGGGGTCTGGGGGGCACCTGGAATTGGGATGGGTCAGCAGAAATGTGGTGGAGGAATCATATGTTCTGGAGGGGGGAGGCGGGGTAGTGGAGGTGCAGGAGGGTCATGTGGCGTTAAGGTTATTTCGGGGGGATCCAGTGGTGGTAGAAGGGGTAGCGGTAGCGGTCAAAGATCAGGAAGCCCCATAAGAAGAGGTTCTGGCAGTGGGGGTCAAACCATTATTATCCCATGTGGTACAAAGGGTAGTGGTACCGGTCAACGATCAGGGAGCCCCATAAGAAGAGGTTCTGGCAGTGGGGGTCAAACCATTATTATTCCATGTGGGAGAAGGCGTAGTGGTAGTCGTTCAAGATCAGGGAGCCCCATAGGACGTAGCAGTGGTGGAGGTCAAACCATTATTGTCCCATGTGGTTGCAAGAGTATTGGTGGTGGCCAAAGATCAGGGAGTCCCACAAGAAGAGGTTCCAGTGGTGGCAGAAGGGGTAGTGGTAGTCGTTCAAGATCAGGGAGCCCCATAGGACGTAGCAGTGGTGGAGGTCAAACCATTATTGTCCCATGTGGTTGCAAGGGTATTGGTGGTGGCCAAAGATCAGGGAGTCCCATAAGAAGAGGTTCCAGTGGTGGCAGAAGGGGTAGTGGTAGTCGTTCAAGATCAGGGAGCCCCATAGGACGTAGCAGTGGTGGAGGTCAAACCATTATTGTCCCATGTGGTTGCAAGGGTATTGGTGGTGGCCAAAGATCAGGCAGACCCATAAGAAGAGGTTCCAGTGGTGGCAGAAGGGGTAGTGGTAGTCGTTCAAGATCAGGGAGCCCTGTGGGAGGTAGAAGTGTTGGAAGCCAAACCATTATTGTCCCATGTGGTTGCAAGGGTATTGGTGGTGGCCAAAGATCAGGGAGTCCCATAAGAAGAGGTTCCAGTGGTGGCAGAAGGGGTAGTGGTAGTCGTTCAAGATCAGGGAGCCCCATAGGACGTAGCAGCGGTGGTGGTCAAACCATCATTATCCCATGTCCTAGAAGAGGTAGTGGCAGTGGTTCAAGACCAGTGAGCCCCATAGGAGTTTGCAGTTGTGGAGGTCAAACCATTATTGTCCCACGTCCTAGAAAAGGTAGTGGCAGTGGTTCAAGACCAGGGAGCCCCATAAAAGGAGTTTCCGGTGGAGGTCAAACCATTATTGTCCCGTGTGTTAGAAGGGGTAGTGGTTCAAGACCAGGGAGCCCCATAAAAGGAGTTTCCGGTGGAGGTCAAACTATTATTGTCCCTTGTGTTAGAAGGGGTAGTGGTTCAAGACCAGCGAGCCCCATAAAAGGAGTTTCCGGTGGAGGTCAAACCATTATTGTCCCGTGTGTTAGAAGGGGTAGTGGTTCAAGACCAGGGAGCCCCATAAAAGGAGTTTCCGGTGGAGGTCAAACTATTATTGTCCCTTGTGTTAGAAGGGGTAGTGGTTCAAGACCAGGGAGCCCCATAAAAGCAGTTTCCGGTGGAGGTCAAACTATTATTGTCCCGTGTGTTAGAAGGGGTAGTGGTAGTGGTTCAAGACCAGGAAGCCCCATAAAAGGAGTTTCTGCTGGAGGTTCAAGACCAGGGAGCCCCATAAAAGGAGTTTGCGCTGGAGGTCAAAACATTATTGTCCCATGTCCTAGACCAGGGAGCCCCATAAAAGGAGTTTGCCCTGGAGGTCAAACTATTATTGTCCCGTGTCCTAGAAGGGGTAGTGGCAGTGGTTTAAGACCAGGGAGCCCCATAACAGGAGGTTCCGGTGGTGGTAGCATTGTTGGTGGGAAAACTGTTATTGTCCCTTGTGGTGGTGGCAGTGGTGGTGGTGGAAGCAGCAGTGTCCAGATTTCTGGAGGTGGCATTACAGTAGGGGTGGGTGCAGCTTCCATGCAAACCAAGCAATCCATTATTTTGCCACCTTGTATAGGTCAAACAAAACAAGTTCCCCAATGTCCCCCTCTCCAGAAGTTTTAGCTCCAGTCTCTTGGTATGTCCCATTCCCCACCAGATAGTGTCAAACCAGGTGAGGATGGTCTGCATGTCGCGATTCTTATTTTGTATCCCTACTGCAAGCTCTTTCTTCTCTGTATATTGTATGGTCAGTAGTGCTCTCGGTGTACAATTGTGCAAAATACTGTGATCATTAATGCCTCCCTGATGGGGAGGATTTGATAATGTTCTCTAGCCATTCATATTTCTGTCTCTGCTAATGACTGGCAGATAATAAAGCTTATTTGAGGATCATGTTATTTGGACTTTGACGTTGTCAAACAGGAATGAGCAAGATTTTAGCAGCCCAGAGTTGTGTTATCTTTTGCTTAGTCAAATAGGATCAAATCCAGAAAATCAACAAGAAATATGTTTAAGAGAAGACATATCAAGAGCAATTACAATTGCAAAACAACACAAAAACACAAACAATCAAACACAAATTTTAGCAGGTGTCATAATGGATTGGAGGACAATTGAGCACCTCTCAGGACAGACTTGTGTTTTATCCATACGATTCATCAGGGCTTCGCCAAGATTTCAAGCAAAGAGTCTTCTGGAAAAAATTATTATACTCTGCCTTTGAGCCATTCTCTTTGCTCTTTCTTGATTGTTCTGCTTATGATACACTAGTTCATTGTCTTTTAATCTCTGGAACTACCTGACAAGTGACGCAAGATCCTGTCTCAGGAATATGGTGCATCTTAGGCCATGAGACAAGTCATCCCATAATCAAAGTCTGACCGATAAGCATGCCAAAGCGTGATTCTTGAATTCTAAACATATTTTATAACACTTTGGCAAAGAAGAAAGATCAGAGAAGCCATGATTAAAATAAAAATAGATTTACATAGCCCCACCCACATATACACATATTTATGAGAAAGACCAAATCAGTGGATTTCTGTTCCATGCTTCTTTTCCACATCTTTCCCTTTATTCCAGACTGTATTTAAACCCACCGGAGACTGCTGTCTTGCAGTCTCCTTACAAGGAGCAACTGTCTGAAGTACTTGTGGGCAATCTCATGTCCTCTCCTTGACCAGAGAGAAATATCATAGACCTCGGTTCATTTTCCAGTTCTTCATTCCACCACTATTGTCAGCTCCTCTTTCAGCAGAACTATCTTCAGTTCGCCATGTCTTCCCCAGAAGTAAAATTCTGGGGGGGGGGGGTTTGACTGCTGTAAGCCATCTTGATGGTCCAATAAGTAAAAAAGTAGCATACAAATCCAAAGTAAATATACAAATCCAAAATAAATATGGTTGATCATCTGCCTTTTTGATCTCACTGTATTTTTTAATCCACCTACTCAACAATCAATTATCAAGTATCAAAGTATCAGGTACCAAATCTGTTTGTTTCCTTTCTCTGAGCATTCTATTTTATGTATTTATTTAATCTTGAAATCATTCTCACCCTGATTTGGAAAAAAAATGTAAATGTAAAGCTGAACATGAAAGGAAATTTGATCCAGCTCACTTTTGGAGGAAAAATTCTATAAAATTCTATTTTTTAAAAAAAAACATATAAAATGCATTAATTTAGAGAAAATGTGTGCCTAAAAATACCCCACAAATCAGCGTATATTAGAAAATGTGCATATAGAAATAGTCCAGAAAGCATGCATATTAAATATATAGATAAAATTTATTTATCTGGAAAAATGCAGACAAAAATGCCAATCCATTTGTTGAACTCATGAACTTGTACAAAAGCGTTCTTTATATGTTGATATAGAAATGGGACAGTGTGGAATGAAAAACTTGTAAAAGAAAAAGCTGAGTGGAATTAAACAAGTTAAATTTCACGTTCCTTCATCTCAACTTCTAAAAAAAAAAAATTGTTCCAAACATCTCTTTTTGGATTGCGTGCAATTAGAATGTATTCTGTTTTGAGCAGCAGTTTGGCGTATCTTTTCTCTCCAACCGTTGCAACAGCTTAGTTTGAAAATAAAAAGCAATTGAGTAGATAGAGAAGCACTTGAAAAATCCATTTGGGGAAAAAAAAAACAGAATGATTCATCCATACTTTCTTAAAACCCCTCTCCAAAAAAAAAAAAAAAAGATTGAATCTTGAATTCATCAGAAGCCCCCTTGATGGGAGAGGCCCCTCAACAATCCAGCACTTCCGGAATTAACCTATTAGGTGGAACAGGTCATTAAATTGTTTGTGCTTCCTAAACTGAGTAGTGATGGAAGAAAGAGATATTGATCTCATATGACTTGCTAAACTTTCATGAGGCCAGCTGTTAGACATGCTAACTAAGTCACTCACCGTGATTGGGGGTGTCTCATTTCCCGTAGGAGAGGCTAAAAAGATGATATAAAAAGGTCCTCAGTCTCTTCAGTCATAAAACACTCCTTTGGGATTTCTTCATCCTGCTCATTTGTCCAACAAGGTAAGACCAAGCTCAGAAATACCCAATTCTTTTCTTCCTTGGTGGTTTTCTTTGCATGGATGCTGGAGGAACATCTGTGATAGATGCTAGCTCTTGAAATGGTTGGTTTGGAAAACTGAATGATTTTCAATGTGAGACTCTCTGAACAGTGAAGAATTTCTTCTAGATTGGAGAAGGAAACTGGGTTTCTTCAAACACTCCAACTTCCATTAGACCAACCAATGTAGCCGATAGTCAAGGATAATGGGATTTGGAATTCCAAAACTTCTGGAAGACGGTTCGTCATCCTAGTATGAGACAAAACTCCAAGGATGATTTTGTTGACATTTCTTCCATCTCTTTGCTGATCTTGATAGCTCATTGTAAGGGCTGGGTTTGGGATGTAACCAGACTATTGGGTGTACCTCCTGATTTCAGAAGCATGAGATTAGCATTGTCTGGTTGTATGTTAGCAGAGGGATTTCTCTCAATTCTCTTACATCTAAATGGTTATATGAGGACACTCCCTCATATTTATCCTCAGAGATTCTTTAAATTAGCAAGTGATGAAATTGTCTGTCAAGATGTTCCCTTCAAAACCTCATGTCTGCATGGGGACACAGACGGTTCAGCACTGGCAGTAGTAGCCATGTGATGTGCCTTTAGGAACACGATCTGGGTATTTTGATGCTGCCATGCTGTAACTAGCAATGTAACTTTAGAGGACGGTCGATGTGAACCAAATCTTCGAAACTGAATGGAAGCCTATTTCAACTTTGCATGACATAATTTGCTTCCCTTGAAAAAAGTGAAATAAGATAGAAAAGGTGAGCAATTTAAACAAACTTAAAGGAGAACAATTTATAAATTTGACCTCCTTAAGAGGCCCACTTTTTTATTTGAAGGGAATTCTTTTTCATATGGCCTGGCATTTATTCAAAACAACAGAGCCACCAAGATGCAGGAGCTGTATGATAACCTACGTTGTTTTCATCTAGGTGAACATTTATCAACCAAAACCACTCACTTCCAAAAAAGATGAGCCAACAAATTCAATCTAGTAGTTGCTGTGGCACTGGTGGTGGATCCAGCGGTCACTGCCATAGAAGAAGAGGCAGTGGAGGCTCCAGGTGTTGCTGTGCATGTTGCTGCTGTAGAGGTGGATCAAGACATGTGATGGTGGTATCTGGAAGCCAAGGATCATCCTGTTGCGGTGGCATCCAACAGATCCCGAGCTCCGGCTGCTGTGGTGGAAGTTCTACTGGAGTCGTCGTAGTACCAGGCGGCCAATCTTCTGGATGTTGCATTGGAGGAGGACTTGGGGGTGGGATTTGCCAGCAGAAGATTCCCTTGATTGGAGGTGGCAGTGGTGGAGGAATTTGCTGTGGTGGTGGATCAGGGGGTCAGACCACTATTGTAGCCGGAGGTGGTAGTGGCAGTGGATGCTGTGGTGGATCAGGAGTAGTGAAAGTCATTGGTGGTGGAAGTGGCAGTGGGTCCGGCTGGTGTGGAACTGGTGGTGGATCAGGGGGGCAGGCCACTGTTGTAACTGGAAGTGGTAGTGGATGCTGTGGTGGATCAGGAGTAGTGAAAGTCATTGGTGGTGGAAGTGGCAGTGGGTCCGGCTGTTGTGGAACTGGTGGTGGATCAGGGGGGCAGACCACTGTTATAACCGGAGGTAGTAGTGGATGTTGTGGTGGATCAGGAGGAGTGAAGGTCATTGGTGGTGGAAGTGGAAGTGGGTCCGGCTGGTGTGGAACTGGTGGTGGATCAGGGGGGCAGACCACTGTTGTAACTGGAAGCGGGAGTGGGTGCTGTGGGGGATCAGGAGGAGTGAAGGTCATTGGTGGTGGAAGTGGCAGTGTGTGTGATGATGGTGGATCAGGGGGTGTGAAGGTTATAGGTGGAGGATCCTCTGGAGGTGGAGGAAGCTTTGGGGATGTTAAAGTCATCGGTGGAGGGTCTGGTGGAATATGCGGAACAGGGGGAAGTTCAGGTGCAAAAGCTGTTGTAGTTACTGGAGGAAGCAGCGGGGCGTCTACTTGTTGCAGCACTGGGGGAAGCTCAGGCACGGTTGCAGTTGTAGGGACTGGTGGTAGTGGAGTTTCTGGTGGGAAAACCATTGTTGTATCAGGAGGAAGTGGTGGATCTGATTGTTGCAGTGGAGGAGGATCCGTTGTCATTGCGGGGGGCGGTGGTTCCTGCCAGACAAAATGTCCCATTGTTGTTCCACCCTGCATCGGGCAAACAAAACAGGTTTGCCCACTGCCACCCCACATAAAGTAAAATAACATACTGTTTTGGTGGGAAGGAACCTTGGTGAGCGTCCCTCTTGTTCTTATGATGTCTTGCTCAGCCAATGCACTTATGGGGTGTGGTATTGCATGTTCTTTATCGCCGTTTCATTTTCGACTATGTATGTCGGAGCATTTTAAAACTTGAGGGTTTGTGCAGCCCTGTGGTGGATGGGAATTAATGGCAACACCCGCTGAATACTTTGCTTGCATCTCCGTTTTTAGGCATCGGAGAAAATAAAGCTTGTTACAGAATGAACACATTGTTGTTGTCTTCTTACCTCATGCCATCAGTGCTGACAATTGTCTCACGTGTCTACCTTTTTCCAACACAAGTTTGCAAACATTTTTTTCCAAGTTCCTCTCATTCCACCTTCAAATGTGTATCGCTCAGTTGTGCATCTGTCAGCGCCATATGCCTGAATTCCCAAAATGATAAAACGTAGTAATAAGGATGCCTGCCTTTTTCATTGTTTCCAACTTTAAGTAAGTTTTGACATCACATTTTAAAAATTGGTGGGAAAGTGTGATTTGGGGGGGGGCAGTTTCCCTGATCTAAACATTTTTGTTCACAATTTTGCTCTCTATAGAGAACAGGTTTCAATTGCCTTGCAGAGATTCAGGACTTCACAGTCCCAGAAACATATAATATGGCCTTAGATTATAACATTGATATCCATTCAGTTTTGGTCGCCACGATGTAAAAAAGATGTTGAGATTCTAGAAAGCGTGCAGAGAAGAGCAACAAAGATGATTAAGGGACTGGAGGCTAAAACATACAATGAACGGTTGCAGGAACTGGGTATGTCTAGTTTAACGAAGAGAAGGACTAGGGGAGAGATGATAGCAGTCTTCCGATATCTCAGGGGCTGCCACAGAGAAGAGAGAGTCAAACTATTCTTCAAAGCACCTGGCGGTAGAACAAGAAGCAATGGATGGAAACTAAGGACAGAAGCAATTTAGAACTAAGGAGAAATTTCCTGACCGTGAGAACAATTAATCAGTGGAACAACTTGCCTGCAGAAATTGTGAGTGCTCCAACACTGGAAGTTTTTAAGATGTTGGATAGCCATTTGTCTGAAGTGGTGTACGGTTTCCTGCCTGGGCAGGCAGTTGGACTAGAAGACCTCCAAGGTCCCTTCCAACTCTGTTATTCTATTCTATTCATTCTCAGAATGCTTCCCAATCCCCAGTCAACTGGGGACATTAGATTGGAGAAAGACTGGTATGAAAGAATGCTAGGGTCTGACAATTTGACATGCAGACTGAGAGCTGGCCGTAAGATGAGCAGCATTAATTGCCATTGTCTCCTAAAACTTTGTCCTATAGGAAGACAGTTGAAATCTTTCAAGATACAATTCCAGAGTTTATTCTTGGAATACCAGCTCTACCACTGCTCAGCTCTCCACCCCCATCCAATCAGATAGGGTGGCTCCCTGTTTGGATTGGCAAGGAGAAATGCTGAATTAGACAAACTAGGAAGCCTTGTTTGGGATTGTGACCTCATTGGATGTGTCCCCGAAGCCATGAGTGACAACTGTAATCACATCCAAAGGCAGTAATTATATTTCTGCCATCATTTAGGGTTTAACAATGGATGGTGTTGCTGCCTATTACTCATGGGTAAGTTTCACCAATGACCTGGCAGCAAAAGTTTGCAGGATTATTCATCTACTTTTCCCATGTGGAGTTTTTCTTAAGGACACCAAAATAAATTAGTATTTCAACTAGCCAAGCTTCAGATTAACCAAATTTAGATTGTGGCAAGTTTGGTTGCCTGAAGATGTTTCACTACCCGACTAGGTAACTTCATCAGTGAATGTGGGATTCGCTCTCTGTTTATATACAGTAGTTTTCCCTGCCAGTGTTGTTGGGGATATGGTTTTCTCTTTGGAAGTTCCTTGATTAGATTATTGTTTTCTGTTCATTTGTCTAGTATTAGTCCCTGCTTATCTGAGTGTTAGGGACGCGGTGGCTTAGTGGCTAAGACACTGAGCTTGTTGATCAAAAGGCCGGCTCTTCAGCGGTTTGAATCCCTAGTGCCGCGTAATGGGGTGAGCTCCTTTGACTTGTCCCAGCTTCTGCCAAACTAGCAGTTCGAAAGCAGGTAAAAAATGCAAGTAGTAAAACAGGGACCACCTTTGGTGGGAAGGTAACAGTGTTCCGTGCACCTTTGGCATTTAGTCATGCCGGCCACATGACCATAGAGATGTCTTCGAACAGTGCTGGCTCTTCAGCTTTGATGGAGCCGAAATGGAAATGAGCACCGTCCCCTAGAGTTGGGAACAACTACCACATATGTGCAAGAGGAACCTTTACCTTTGCCTTTATCTGAGCGTTGCCTGCTAGAGAGGATTTCCTCTTTTTTTGTTTCCTTCTCAGCTTGTTGTTGTCTCTTTTGAATGGTAGGCAAATACAATTTATTTTTTGGGGTCCCTTGATGGTTTCATGCTCCAAGTAAACTCAACCTTTGTGTTCTTTCTCTCCAGAAGACCCATAATCAACATTCTCGCAATACGTTAAATCTGTTGGTTAAACAAAACCATTTTCTGGGTTTGCACAATTGCTGAATCCCAAAGTAATTGGATTTTGTTGTGAGGAAATTACCCACTTAAAGCATAACTAGAAGTCTCCAGTTTATCTGATGGTTCTTCTTGGTCTTCCACTCCCTCTAGTGATGCATGTCTGAACTTCATCCCTGGGAAAACAAGTTATGGTTTGCTGAAGAGCAAACTGGAAGGACCAGAAGTGGGAGGCACTGACAATTGTTTACCAAACATCTGTCCTATTTAGCCTGTCTAGGAAGAACTATTCATTCTGACAACCAATCCAGACCCTACCCATCCACCAAACATGGAGATTTGCTGAGGCAGCCAGAGGTGACATTCCATTTGTATTTTATGAATATATTCTCAGTCCTTCTTTGAATCAAGAGAAATCCAGAAAGGGATGAAAGGTCTCAAAGAAGACCTACCCTATTTTTCCCTGCAATAAATCTAATTAATCAAATTTTGTGAGAACCCTAACCTTCTTGAATATGGCAACCAAGTTAATCAATAAACCATAATTAAGCAAGCCATGTCTTACAAAACCTGGATACCCGGTGGATGGGTCTTCTGTAGGTACATCATCTTTTGTCTATTATCCATTGAAAGATCTAAAAGGTGCCATCTGCCATTAACATTTTGAATAGGGAGAAGCTACAATCTTGGTGTCCGAATTAAACTATACTCTGATTTCCCCCTCAAAAGAGGTTGACAACAAGAGGAGAGACCTCACTGTTGATAAAATTGGGATCCTAAACTGTTGGAAGATGCCAATAGGCAGTTGTTTTTAGACCAGCCACCTTAAAACGTAAACCTGGCATCAATCAAGATCACGTGCCTCCACAATAAAAATATATTAAGAGTTGTTAACCTAATCTTGCATAGCTTCTTCTCTGGTAATATTGTACTACTAACTAGAGCATACAAAACATTTGCTAGACCAATTCTTGAATACAGCTCATCTGTCTGGAACCCGCACTGCATATCAGACATTAATACAATTGAGCGAGTCCAGAGATATTTCACGAGAAGAGTCCTCCACTCCTCTGCTCACAACAGAATACCTTATGCCACCAGACTTGAAATCTTGGGGCTTAGACAACTTAGAACTACACAGCCTTCGGTCTAACCTAAGCGTAGTACATAAAATTATCTGCTACAACGTCCTAACTATCAATGACTACTTCAGCTTCACCCACAACAACGCAATAGATACACACTTAAGGTAAACTGCTCCAAACTCGATTGCAGAAAATATGACTTCAGCAACAGAGTGGTCAATGCCTGGAATGCACTACCTGACTCTGTGGTTTCATCCCCAAACCCCCCAAAACTTTAACTTAAGACTGTCTAGTGTCAACCTCACCCCATTCCTAAGAGGTCTGTAAGGGGCGTGCATAAGAGCACCAACATGCCTACCGTCCCTGTCCTAATGTCCCCTTTTATTCATAACCATCTCATGTATTCATAATCATGTTTATACTTTTATCTGTAATGTTATATATGCTTGACAAAATAAATTTAAAAAAAAAATAAAATGCTACTGAAGCAACATTCTTGGCATCTGACACCATTGGAACAGACCCAGATTGTTAGCACAATTAACTGTAATACATATTATTGTGCAAGATCCATAGTTTAAAGCTGGCATGCCCACACTGGTATGTGATATGCCATTACTCTAAGAAGTTGACAGCTCAGCCTACAATGTCCTGATTTGGCTAACAAATTCCTCCATTCTGTGAGGAGGTTAAAGGACCATAAAGAGAGTCTTCTGAACCACATGTAGCCCAACTCTCCACCCCAATCCTTCTTCTGGCCCAGCACACTTTTGGACCCCAACCTTTGCCATGATATTCAACACTAGCAGAAACATCAAGCCAGCTGTGATGTAGGAGAACCAGTGGCCTGCTGGTCATCAGAAAAATTGGCCCAGATTTATTGAAAATGACTCAGTTCTCTTCCTGAGGATACTTCACACCAACATGACTTAAGATAAATGGGACATCCAACCTGGAGGCCAGGCCCCTCAAATGCAATATGCTATAGATAATGGAGAATAAATCAGCTTTTGCTTCCATGTGCCATCTCTCCACATCCTTTCACTCACTCTATTAGCATGAGGTCGAGTACTTTGTGGTGTCAATTACACTGTCCACATGGTTTGTGAGATGGCGTCACAACATTTGTGGAATCACTGTGGTTCATGATGAGTCCTGCGTTGTCCAGCCCTGTGTTTGTTTGGATATTGCCCGTCACGGGAACACAGTGGAGTGTACTGTTATGACCATGGTCAGGTTGGTCTGTCATGTGAATCCCGTATCTAAAGTGATCTAGTTAAACCTACTGAGCAAACCCTACTACCCTTTCTAAATGAACCCAAGAGCTCCTGATGATTCAGAATCCACATCAAAACCCATCCTTCAAAATGGAGTCCCCACTCTCCTTACCCAGACTTTCTAACTAAAAGTTGACATTGGCCACTCCTCAACGACAAAGAAAAATTTGCAGGGCATGTTTTTCTGAGCACTCACATGCATGACTATCAAATGAATCCATGGTGGGCTTCCATAAATGTTAAGATTTGTGGGTTTTACCAGAAAGAGCAAAACAGCCAGTATCATAGGAATGTTTCAATCCCTTCCTTCTTCCTCTTCTTTCTTTAGCGAATCTATTTCATACGCTTGCATTTCGTTTCCATCCTTTTGGTCTCCTCTTCCTTTACCCAAATCTTCTCCAGAATTTTGCTTTCTCTTTGAGGATCTTCCTCCAAAAGGATTCATCCAAAATGCTCTCTCCCTTTCTTTTTCTTTTTCTTTTTTTTCTTTCTTTCTTTCTTTCTTTCTTTCTTTCTTTCTTTCATTCATTCTTTCTTTCCATGTATATTGCAAACTTGTGCTTATTCCAGCTAATTTACAAACTTTTGTAGCTACTTAGATTAATTAGACGCCGCTTTGAGAAAAGAGGGTATGTGGGAATTAAAACATTCTTCCTGTGTCTTGAGGTGTCTTTAAGGAATCCGGTCACACCATCCCATTAAAACTACCTGTCTTGGGTGCCCATCTTTCATTCTCCCTGATGTTGGCCAACATTTCTGAGCCTTGATATATGGAATCTTTGACATAAGGCAATTACATTGCGCAGGCTGTTGTGATGGATGAAGACTCCAGTTGCAATACACAGCCCACTCCTTCCGCTTATTGGGTCATGAATTGGGCATTTCCCAGGAAGGCAGGCAGAGGAACCGTATAAAAATGCCTCACCGCAAGGACCTAAGCACACATTTGCGGTATTCCACCATTGCAAGCTTCTCTGCTGAACTTTGGGTAAGTCTACCAAAGCTTTGTCTTCTTATGGCTGGGATTGATGAGCTGGTTTAGGGGTAGAAACATAGTGCTTTCGAAAACTAAGAATATTGGACAGCAGATTCTGATGAGCAAGATTTATTAACTGTCTTATGGATTAGCAACATTGGCAGAAGAGATGTAGATATGCACTACCAACAAGATAAATTATTCTAGTTTACGTTTGATATAAAGATATAGGATTTGAACCGGTCAATAGGTGCCAACATTTGCAATGAATTATTTATTGTCACTGTTACTCTGCCAGTAGCTCCGCATTATGGTTAGAGATACCATCTTTTCTTCCCCGGCTCTTCCTCTAGATACCTGAAATGACTGGGAAGAAGGGAGTAGAGAATTAGATAGCATAAACTGAATTTATTGTATTAAAAATGTTTGCCTCCTGCCCCAATTTCATGACTTTGAGCTGTTTACAACATGTATCAATGTGCAATAGCATATAGCTAATAGCCGACACCATCATTAGCATTGGTGATGTTACCTTGTTGGGTCATGAAATGTCTGCAAGAAGTCAGCCAAGCTCAGAGAGCACCAAGGACCCCTCTTGTCAGCCCCCAGAGCTACAAATATTCTCTTTTATTGATGTATCATCTTTTTCCTGTCTTTGAGATATGTTGATGAGCGTGTAATAACAAACTTGCAAGAATTGTAGACAGCATGAGCATGGAAACTTGTAAAAAGTTCTCACTGTCTTCCAAGACAACAGTACTTCCTAAGGTCCTTTGTAAAAAGTTACATTTCCAAGGGCGTCCGGATTGTAAGACTTAAGAATTAAAAAGACATTGAACTCAGTTTAAAATTCAGGTAGGAATCCAAGAAACCACATCTCTGTGTTGTTAAAAGTTTGGGAATGCTGGACGGGGCTTTCATAGCAGATGTATTTATCATTTCTTGCTTTGCCGCAGAATTGCCAACAGACAAATATCAGGATGTGCTCCCGCAACAACGAAGGGTGTTCTCATGACAATACGTGTCACAGTGGGAGGAGTTCCTGCCACGAGGATCGAAGTTATTCCTGTGATAGAAGCAATCCCTCTTTCACAGTTATGGCCATACCGGTGGCTCAGGATAAGAACCCACTCACCCAGACCCAGAAGCAGTGCCCCGTGGTTTATTCCACTCCTCAGCTCCAACAAACTCAACAGCTCAAGCAGCCCATTCCATATCCTCCCCAACAACAGCTGAAGCAGCCACAACCGTTGAAGAAGTAGCAGAGCAAAACACGGAGGAAACACTGCAACGCAATGCATCTGAAAGCCAGCAAATTCCACTGCTTCTTATCCTGTTTGATACAGGATTTATAAATGTTAGCTTCTTTGACGCTTTGGCTTAGCCACAGTCAGCATCAAGCATTAAAATGCACAAATCTATGTTTGGTTTTGAGTCCTTTTGTACGTGAGTGACTTGGAAGGGGAAGAAGATTTGTTGGTGGGAATGGGGGGGGATTAGTATGGTTGAACCAATTAAAACGTCTCTTTTAGGAATTAATCAAAGTTTAAATGCCCAGTACAATCATTTTTCCATCCAATCTTAGCAGCATGAGTCCATGTAAGGTCTCTGGATTTCCCACTTCAGAAAGAAAACATTCAAATTCTGAGCCAGTGGTTTGGAAAACAACAACCGAAATCCAAAAAGGTACATCAAATCTCAAACTGACACCTCTTGTTAAAATTAGACTATGCCTAGAGACTATTCGTCTCTCACACACATACACAAAGAGAGAGAAAACCACATTCTGTTTTACAGTCTTCTGATTTTAGTAGATTTCCACCTGGAAATCTGAAGTTCTTCAGAACCATTCAATTCATTTCTGATTAAATCTTGGAACTGATTCTAATTAATAAACCACCAGCAGGTACAATACATTCTCAGGCTTGAACAGATGATAAAATCCACTGCTTTGCTTTTCACTGGTTCACCCTTTTTTCAAGACTTTAACAACTTTCTCTTTGTGTATTCTTATTTGAAACAAAAAATGACAGGCCCAGGATGACATGGTAAGAAATACCAGAAGCTGCAGCTCAGCAACAAACCACAGACGAATCATCTCCACCTTAATTTTCACCAATTCCTTCTAATAAGTCTCTATTTCCTGATTTGGTTAGGTTGCTCTTTGATTACTACTCATAATAGCCGAAAGAAATTAACAGACCATAATCCAGGTAGCCCAGATCTGCACTAGATGTTCAGACAGGTTAGTTTGTAATCAACGGAAGAGGTGAATTAGCACATAAATGCTTTCTAGATCATCTTGGTGACCTTCCAAATATATTACCATTAGAACGCTCAGAATTCCAGGTCAGAATAGAACATATCATTGGCATTATTTTCTGATAATTTTGAGAGCCATAATCCCAATATCTTTGGAGGACATAAACTTTAAGAATCTAACTAAAGGTTTCCAAAGGGCTGAAGAATATCAGAAGAGGTCTCAAGCCGTCTTAATTATAAGTCCATGGGCAGATAACGGACAGGAAGAAATGTATCCTGGATAGGGTCCAGTTTTGTAGGGCCAAGCCTATGATGATATTCTAAATACAATGTATTGTTTCCTCAATTCTTCTAATAAATAGATTTGACTGCATAGAAGGTTTCCATAGGTTGGTAGGTAAACCAACAGAAGGATGATCCTAGTTAGTTGGCAATTTCAGATCAATTCTGATTCCTTTGAAACAGGGATGTCAAACTTGATTTCATTAAGGGCTGCATCAGAGTTGTGTTTGACCTTAGGGGGGCAGGGGGGGCGTGGCCAGCTCAACATCACTCGTGTTGGGGGCACCTGTGATGGCCCGAGTGCATTCTACAAAAACACAGAGTCAAAATTGCTGATTGCCTTCACATTCCAGAAGGCGAGGCCTTTATTCACCCAAACGTCACCCAAACAATATGTATACAAGCAAGATCAGGTTACAAAACAGATTGGAAAGGAAGAGGAGGGAAGGTGAGATGTCAGGCAATCTCGACACCCCAAGTCTTAAATTGGAATATTAGAGGCAGGTTCACCCGTTCAAATTAAAAATCTGCGTCACTCTGATCATGGGACAGTTTTGGGCTCCCGCCAGATCTATTCAGTTGAAATCAGAAATTAATGGACAACAGAGAGAAATGGTTCAGATAATTGAGGGAGTGGGGGGATTCCTGTCCAAAGTCACCCTTCGGGAACTTTTCCTGCAATTAGTGGAAGAAAACAGAGACAGGTGCAAAGTTTCAGGTATGTCGTTTGGCAAGGCAGATACCCTAAAGTGAATCCAGACGGGAAATGATTGTTTTCCTCCCAGGGGTTAAGCCTGAAAGAGGGCAGATGTGCAATTACATTCCAGATTTTCCTTTTATTCCAATTGGCTTATTCATTAAGAAATAATGCAGCATTCGGGGAGGGAAGATCCAGGAAATAACAGCAAGGGGTTCAAATGCATACAGAAGTATGCTTGGCTTAACATCTTTGAGCAAAGCTCCCTCACTTCAAATGCTCAATTGAATATATATATAAATAAATAAAAATCTTTCTGTTTGGAGAAATGAACAAAAAAAAAAAAAAGATGAATCTGTCTGGGAACTTCTTAAATTCTATCTCCCTGGTAGGGAAAGAAGCTGAGCTGAATTTAAGGAGGATCAAATACAAGCGCGTTGATGTTTGATGGATTCGACCTTCCCTAGCACAGGGCTAGCAATAATGGAGTGAAAATAGCACTAGATTATTTGGATTATGATAGATAGCAGGAAATGAAGATGATAAGAGCAAGAAAGAGGCCAAAGTTAGACAGTGATGCGCAGAGGAGGTAGCGGCTAAACCCAGTGCAGCAAACATGACTGCTCTGGGCCAGCCATTCTTCTCAGATCCGAAGCAGAGCAGCATATATTATTTCTTCGTGGCACAGCAATTCAAAAGTCCTGGAAGGGATGGCCAACTTCACTTGCACTGTTTACAGCACTGGGAACAGCAGGACGATTGACCGCAGCAACCCGAAGAGCAGCAGCAGGGAGAGCAGCAGCAGGGAGAGCAGCACGGACCGCAGCAGCAGGGAGAGCAGCACGGAGCGCAGCAGCAAGGAGCGCAGCAACTAGGACCACAGCCACAGCCTCCGGTGGGCATACAGATGACGTGTGCGTCAGATCCGCCAGAGTCGCCACCACAGCCGCAGTTGCAGCCGCAGCCGCCGCCACCACCGCCACCGCTAGATTCCATGTTGCCCATTTCTGCAAAACAAGAAAGAACGATCTAACGGAACAGGAGAGGAACTGGGATCTCCAATGGCTCTGAAATTTTGAGACAATTTTTCTTTAACATCCATGGTGTGTGATGACTTCTAAGTCAATCTACTGCCTACATAACCCATATCAACATTTCTCTTCTCCAATTTGCACACTCCGTCCCTTATTAAGTTAGCATGCTAAAATCAAATGCTTCGTTTTTACAAGAAAAAGAAAATCACTCTTGTCATGAGACCAATAAAAAAATATTTTGGCCATAAAAATCAGAGAACCATAGTTTCCTAGAATTGGAACTGTCCACTGAGACCAATTTCTTGCTGTATATCAGGTCCAAAATTAAAAATAACCTAAAACTTAGACAGAGAGTTGTCCAGCTTCTGCTTGATTTTATCCATTGAAGGACAGCCACTACTTCTCCAGGCAGTTAGGCCATGATGATCCTATTTCCAGAAGAAGCCTGTGAGATACTTCTCAGAAGCAGGCATGTCCCAGGTGCTTTTTCTTTCAACATCAGAATCTTAAGATATCCTCCCATCAAACAGTAGGTTTTGTCATCTTGTCTAATCAAAATGATAAGATGTAAGCTTGATATTTCTGGCGATTCTAACATACATCTATTTGAGCCAATGGTTCTGAATTCCAAACAACTTCATTGGTCTCCAACTAACTGTTGTCTCCAACTAACTGTTTAGAAAATACCAAACTATATGTTATTCTGTTCAGCAAATGGTACAGATTCACAAAGGGTCCCTGTTCTATTGCAGCAAGCTTCCTATCTGAAGCTAAAGATTTTATCTTCTTCAGGATGACCAATCAAAGTCAACTTACCTGCTGGAGATGTTGCTTGCTAACAAGGTACAAGAAGGAAGGTTATGATGTTCTCTTGTGGACGGGGGGCCACCTTTTATACTGCCTCCTCAGCCTTCCCCCAGGAAGTGAGACAATGTCATGGAACGGCAGGTTCTTCACTCACCCAAAAAGCATGTTTCCTTCTACCTGGTTCTTTGACTCAATTCCATTTCTCATTAAAGGACATTTTTCTAGAAGTGTATGATTAACACCATCTTCACTTAGCAATGCTATAATTCCAAGTCCAGAGGCACGAGGAAGTTTGCTCTTAAAATGTGAGCCCTAAACTCAAGACAAATTTCCATGCATCATGAGGACCCCATAGTTGAAGGCCTCATTACGGACCTCATGCCTCTTCATTGACTTGACCCATAATTGACTTGACTCTCCGTTGTCTTAACCCTTCATTAGCATGATCAAAATTAGGTGTAAGCAAAACAGATCAAGGAATTCTGCCCTAGGGACTATGAAATCTTAATGAAGCTCCTGAGAAATGAACTGGTAGACTCAAGAGCAAAATTCACTGAGGTGGGAAAAATTCTTAAGGAAAAAAAACCCTCAACAATCCAAATGTCCATAATCCATGGTCATACAATGCATTGATAATACACAATATCCAAGAAAAATGTAGGTCAGGTTGTCTGGAATGCTATTCATGCTACAATTTTTCATTTTGATTAGAAATCTGGAGGAACTAACTTGATTTCTGGAAGGAAGGATCAAGAGCTGTGTAATGCTTTGAAAGTTTGGTTCATTTCTATGAAGTTCTGAGTGGGGTTTCCATTTGAAGCTGTTTCGTGAAGCAACATGACCTTCTTACTTCTAAAAAAAAGAAGCCCATGGACTACTCCACTTCAGTTTATCTCCTCCATCAGTTTCAATAGCCAGAAGAGATTCTTGGTCAGGATTTTTCTCCTGCCATTGGAAGCTTCAAGATGGCATAAACTCCTTCTCAAGGAGAAACACATCCTTCACCTCAATGAGAAACTTCATGGTCCAAATGTTTCTGGAGATTCTCAATCCTCCAGGCCATGGTTGTCCCATGGTTTCCAAAAGGCAACTGGATTTTCTTGGGTTTTTTTTTCTTTGAAAACATTTCACTTCTCATCCAAGAAGCTTCTTCAGAACTTGGATGAGAAGTGAAATGTTTTCAAGGGGATAAAACCAAGAAAGTCCAGATGCCTTTTGGAAAAGCACCTTTGGGACTTCATAATCCAAAGTGCATTACTAAGGTGATGCCAAACCAACATTGCACAGTGCTATCATCTTCGTACTATCTCAGTGTTGCATGTTCCTGGATTTAACGATGTGGCTTTATCAACCAAAAAGCGTAGGGAGCATGATGACTACAAGGGGACAGTCCACTCCAAAATTCAAGCTGGTGGGAAAACATTGTAGGGAGAACCTATTAAAAGAGTTGCAAGCTCAGAATGTTTTTAAGTGTTAAATGTTGTTTTTTTAAACAAAAGAAGAAAAACAAAACATGAAGAACTGAGACAAAGCAACAGGGACCAATTTGTCCATCTGAGGTGTGATTTGATGATTCAGCTACTGCATTTGATTCATCCACTGCATTTCCTAGTGTGACCTCCTGATTACAGATGCCAAGCAAACATAGAATTGGCATTCTTCTTTTAGTGTGGGGCCCTTCCTCAGGGGTTTAAAGGTAACACTATAATTAGAAGTTATTTCCGTGCACTAGTTCTCATGTAACTTCCCAACTTGGTGCTCAAAATACGTCTGGTTGTTCTTTTTTATATCATCCAGTAGTGATTGTGATATGGTCACAATGGAAAGAGTACTCAATGTTCACCCTTTCTCCTTCTTGTCCTTTGCTTCCCTTCCATTTTTCTTTCTTTTTCCCCATTGTCTCCTTCTCCTAATCCTTTAAACCACTTTGATGTTAGGTGAGAATTATAGAGTTGGATACCTCATAAAGCACGGATATACGTTGACTAAGGACAATGAGCCGGAAAAATGACGTGTTCGATGACCATTTGGCTTGATGGTTAATAAAGAGATCACCATTCCTTGTTAGTGCCTCATTTCCCAAGTGTAGGGTGCACGGAGCTGTATAAAAGGTCCCCCTGTTCCCCAAATCTTCATTCACTCAACTGGGTTAACTCTCCTAGCCATTTCCACCACCTACAAGGTAAGTGGTCCTTTGTTGATATAAGATAGACTATTCCTGGATTTTCTTTTTTTAAAAAAGCTATAACGTTTTATAGCTTTCTCTCCCATTTCATTTTTTCCCCCATAGCTGATGGTTTAATCTAAGGTTGGGATGAAAAACAAGAATATATAGAATCCATTTCTATGTATACTTATTAAAAGTAAGTCTTGTTGGATATCATAAACTGACTTCCAAAGGAGAGGCTACAATTCAGTCTTGGGGCATAAGCTGTTGAATGATCCCAAACTGAGTTTGTTGCCTCTCCAATTAAGAATGAATCAATTGTCGAGGTTGAACAGGTACAAGATATGAAAAGCAGAAAGCTTTCAGAACAGGCCAAAAATCTGTTTTATCAAGCATCTGGATCACTCAGCAGCAGACAAAGGTGCATTGGAGAAACTCAACAAAATGGCAGGACCACCATCTCATTCATCCATGGTCTTTCCTTAGTATGCTCCTTTCAGTTTTGAAATAGTTATAGACAAGATAGAACTACTTTCCAAGTCATCCAGATCGGTGGGGGATGCCCTTTGGAGCTAGTGAGTTCCATAATTTTCCTCCTACATTCCTCGTTTACAAGTAGATATTTTAATGCATGGAAATTGTGGCTCTGGAATTGTGGCCCATCGCTCTTCTGAAGAGACTGCCTCTAACATTCCCTTGTTTCTTTTCCACCAGAACTTCACAACTCATCAAAAAGATGGCCTGCTGTCCCATCTGTGGCTGCTACCCCTGCTGTTGCGTCCCCTGCTGCTCTTGTGGTTGTGGTCCCTGCTGTTCCTCCTGTGGGGCACCTTGCTGTTGTGGCCCTTGCTGTTCTTGCTCTCCCTGCTGTGCTTGTGGGGGTTGTGGGTCATCCTGCTCGTGTCCCCAATGCTCCTCCTGTTGTGGTTGTGGACCTTGTTGCAGTAGACAGTCATCTGGGTGTGGTTGTGGTTGTGGCTGCTCCCCTTGCTGTGGTTGTGGGTCCTGTGGTGGGTCCTGTGGTGGATCCTGCGGCGGCTCCTGCGGCGGCTCCTGTGGTGGATCCTGTGGCGGCCCCTGCGGTGGGTCCTGTGGGGGCTGCTGTGGTGGGCCCTGTGGGGGCTGCTGTGGTGGGCCCTGTGGCGGGTCCTGTGGGGGTTGTGGTTCCTGCTTCCCTAAACAGGGATGTTCTTAAAGAACTCCAAACGACACTGCAGTAGGACAACCGAACTACACAACCCAACTATTCAAGAAAATGCCATCGTCATTCCATGGCGGTTGACCTCCTTGTACTCCTTCACTAAATGCATTCAGTTTTTATAACTCTGTCCCTCCCTTCATTCTCCCTAGGTCCTTCTCACCTCTTCCTTCCCTTCCTTTTCTACAGCCCTCCTCCCCACCCCCCCAAGAAGGTCTGTTCAGTTTTTGAAATATTACTCTCATACTATCTCTCCCACTCTGTTGCTTTTTTCTTGGTTGTATGATAGATAATAGATAATAAACATTCCAAACAGCTCTGCATTGTTTCAGTGCATTTCATTTTCTGGTGTCCCCATTGAATCAACACACCCCGGGTCGCATTCGGACCCGGTTACACTAAGTTTCTCGTGGAACAAATTACACAGAACATAACAGTACAACATCGAGCACAATATCAAATAGGATACATAAGAATTGCTCATGATTAGGAAATTAGTGTATGATCTTTCCCACTTCTTCTAACCCATTGCAGTGTCGATGAAGATAACAGTCACGAAACATGATGTGTGAACCTAGCCATTTACAATTCAGACTCTGCACCTGGCTAACTACCACTACTTGAAAAAGCTGGTTAGTACTAGTACTAACCCTACTACCTGAAAGGAATGATAAGCTACTTCCATACTCTTGTCAAGAAAACTACCTGGGTAAATCTGTCGAATTACCGAGAGCTGAGTCTGGCTTAATGGTATTTTGATCTTTAACCTAGATTTTATGTCTAACTTCCACTCCCCAACTCCATTTAGGAATACTGCCTTTTTCCATGACAAACGGTAGGCCTGTTTTGTACATGACATTAAACTATAGTTTATTTCACTAGTGTTCATTGTAGTTTGGGTTTACAAGTGTAAAGACAACAGAAACTAAAGTACATTTTGGTTTAAGCAGCTTAGATCTTTATTGTCATCATCATCATCGTCAACATCATCATCAAAGCAATGTAGAGTAGATATATTTCTACATCTAATTCCTTTTTTATGGTTATTATTAATTAAGCTGTCCTCCCAGGCATGTAGAAATGAACTCAGAAATTCTCCTGAACTTGTAAAATATTATTGATATATTTCTAACACTATAAATAGAATATCAGCACAGACCATGAGACATTTCTTCCTCAGCCATATATTGTGTTTTTAAACTGAATATTAGCACAAAGAACGATATAGAGTACATTAAAAGAAAAAGCTGTGATTGGTGAAATCTCCTGTAAAAATTCAAACGCTTGTTTTTTAAAAAAAAACAATGGAGGATTCTAAAAGAATTGATTTTGTTTTGGAAATCAGACCATCTAGGATCTGGGGAGATTTCCAAGACCTTAGCGCCTTCCGCTGTGCCCTTAAAACCCACTTTTTCCAGCAAGCCGGGCTGGCTTAAGAAGAAATTTTAAATGTTTTAATTGGTTTGTATTTTTAATTTTGAGCCAAATTTATATATATTTTAATTGTTTTTAATATTTGTATTTCATGTTTTTTAATTCTGGCTGTACACCGCCCTGAATCCTCAGGGAGAAGGGCGGTATATAAATTTAAAATAAAAATAAAATAAAATAAAATTTTCAGTTGCTCCCTCTTGTTGGACAGAACAGTCTTCAGGTTTGAAAATGGAGAGTTGTACGTCTTGACAGCAAATGC